TGTCTTTGTGAAGTGTTACCATTCTGACCTTGATATCTTTTCTTTTGATTAGTTGACCACTTATATTCAATAGTTGTATTAGAGCTTATCGATTCACTGTCTGATGTTGGCTCTGATATGGGTTCAGTATCTGTTTCTACTGTTCTATACCCCAGTCTTCCTCTTAATCTTTCAGTTTTATGTTTAGAACTCCTTATGGTTTCTTCTATAGCTTTTATGCTCCAGGATAGTCTTAGTCCTTGCAAGAAAATATACTGCTTGTAAGCTCTTGTCAGTGCTTCTTTTGTTGCAAAACATACTATTGTAAAGTTTTGTTTTTTCAATGTATGAGAATTTCTTGATGTATAACAAGCCTTAGTTTCTGTACCATTAAGTGCCCTGGCTACCAAACTTGAGAGTATTCTATTTGTTTCTAATAGCCTGGCTGAATGTTTGTTTCATTCAATCAAAACCTCATTTATTTCTTTATCGATCAGTTCTTCTTTAGTGAAGATTGTTCTTATCATTTCTATTCCAAGTGGTGTTATCCATATTTCTTCAGGATTGGTTTTGAAGTGTTTATACCACTTGAGATAAGCTTTTACTCTGTTCTTTATTTTTACCTTATAGATATCAATGTTTTTAATATCTTCATATCTTTTTAGGTGTTCTTTTATATAGCTTCTGGAGAGTTTGTGATCCACATCCACTAGATTTACGTATCATATGTCTTTGTTTTCTTCTGGATTGTGGGTTCGAAATATCTTTTTCTCCATCTTGTCTGTAGCTGATTGATCGATGTCTTCTTCTTTTCCTGATTCTAGTCGTTGGAGACTAAAGGCTTCTTCCTTTCTATTTACCTCTTCTAAGCATTTAAGGAGATCTTTTTCTTTTTTAAAGTGGAGAATCAGCCATTCATTGCTATTAATGAAACTTTTTTGAAGAAGGCTTTATTTATCCTGAAATAGTTTTAAGGTATTGCACAAATAGACTCTAGATTTCTTTTCTAAGCTTCTTGGAATGTTGGCTGTTATGGTTCCTAATCGATATATTCCTTTTTTACTTATGTAGTATGGATTCGGAGTAGAATTTGCAGCTCTATTTCTTGTACTGTATGAGTTACATTTATCTATATTTTGTCCTTTGATCTTTTCTCTCAGTATTTTGAATCCCATTACCTCTTCTATCTTTTCTTGTTTTTGAACATTAGACATTGTAATCTCATTATCTACTGTTAGATCATTTTCTATCTGAGTGACAATCTCCATGAGAAGGGTTTTTGTGTTTTTTGATATATCTTTTTCTTTTTTGATAATTTCAAGAAGTTTATTTTCGATATACAGCTGAAGCAGATCCTCTTCTTTTCCTTTTCCAAGTTGTCAAAGGTAGGTTATATATTGTATTAAGATTCATTCTTTATAAAACGTTATCTTGTCTACTCCTAAGATACTTGCAATAATACTATCAAGTATCGTACAGGTTTCTGGAGCTGATGCTTCTTTTTCTACTTGAATAGTGGCTTGCCCTTGTCTGACTATTTGTTGTATAGCCTATAGTTCATTATGTTTATCATGCTTTCTTGCAAGTCGAATTAGAGTATCAATAATATCCTTTTCTCTATTATCTATTATTTATAGAATCTTCTCTATTTTATTCATTGTACATATAAAGGATAGCTAATAGGGGATAAATCACGTAGTGTTGTTAAAGTCATGTGGGGCAGAAAAATCCTTTATGTGTTTTGTTTCTTATTTTAATAATTCCTTATTTTGATTTGTGTTTTAATTTTGTTTTGATCAGACATGTATTGTTTATCCCTTCTTTATCTAGTGTTGTTTACTTATTTACACTAGTTTGTAATATTGTACTACAAATTCCTGCTGTTTTGTTTATGTCAATCACGTCCTGTGATGATGTTGTGATTGAGGATCTTACCAAATCTAGTCGCTCTTGTTGTGCTGTTGTAATAGATCTTTGTTGAACTTGTTTTGACAACAGGTCTATATACATGTATGTGTTTGCATTACTCTGGCTAGGTGTTTTAATGTTTGCAGGGTGGGGTATACATATTAGGTTGTTTAAACCTTGGGGAGCTTTGATGTCCTTCTTGATCTTGAGGGATTTGAGGTTTATTTGATTTATCGAGCAAATCTACTTTCTTTAAGATTCCTTGTAGTGTCAAGAAAGGTGTCAATTTGTACTGGCCTGGTTGCAAGCACTGTGAAGTTAATATTGGCTCCCCTTTTCTGACTGTGAATCAGTTTATGTCAGTTTCTTTCCTTCTTCTTGAAAAAGGAGTAAAAGCCAAAGTTGTTGTTGTATGTATGTATTTTCCAACAATCTACTGCTCCAGGATTATACACAAAATGTTATCTTGTGCTAGAATGACTGTTATATGTTGGTGTTGCAAGAATATGTGTCTTGAATTATAGATGTTTCTCTTTCCTTGGGTGAATTGTTTAAAAAGGAAATTTTTAAGGATCTGAGGGATTTTCCTATGTATTTCTATTGATTTTCATAATGATTAATAAATGCATAGTGCTGATCTAACCATAGATAAAAAAAAAATAAAATAAAATAATTTGTTAGATTAATTCTATTTTTTTATCTTAAAAAATAATAAGAAGAGGTATTAATTATTTTATAACTTTCATAAGCTAATCTAATTTAATAAAAATTATTTGTAAATAATATTATATTTTGACAATAAAATAATTAAAACTATAATTAATACAAAATATTAATTTTTTACTTAATAAATTATTCAATTTATTATAATATAATATTTTTGTGATTATTTTTTAATAAATTTAAATTAGAAACTTTTACTTTAATATTATAGAATATTAATATTCGTAGTATCAATTTATTGTTAATTTTTTTATTTTAAATTATAAAAAAAAATTTTTTTATTTGATTAAAAAAATAAAATAAAAAGCCATTTACTAAATAATAAAATTAATATTGTAGATATTTATCAATTTAGAGATTATTTTTATTTAATAAACAATATGCGACATGTGATAATAATAAATAATTTTAAAATTGTAATAATAGTTAATTTCTTATTAACAAATATTAGATTTTTAAAATAAGATTAAACCCGGATTTTTAATTTGAGCCCCGAATTTCTGCAAGATACAAGAAGTTTACTTTTCGGTAATAGTACAGGCAGGATAACTGGTAACTTGTTAACTGGTTAATATTTTTCCGGTCAGTCCAAAAACAATGATGAATTAAAATTGTACTAACCTTATTATGGTAATGACTCGTCGCCGTTATGATCGTCTTCATGTCAGCATCCAAATTTACTATTGTAATAGAGAGAAAAATGAAAAAATTTCGGCGGAATTTTATTGGAGGAAGAGTCGTCGCGTTTTAATTGTCAATAATGCCTCTTCCGTTGGATGACATCGTTCTTCGACGATCTGAATTTTTTTTCTTCTTTTTTGCAGCAAATCTTCTCCATCAAAAGCACAGTGAGAAAAATTATCGAAGGCTGATGGTGAATATTCAAGTTTGAAACAAAGAAATGTTGTATCATTACACAAAATGTGATCGCATAACTCGAATCAAATAAAGAATGTTGCAAAAAAAAAAACTCCCATTGAATGGGTGGTTCATTGTTTACCTCTGATTTGATGTGTGAGGCATAAGGGATTTCTATAATTGTGTCCGGCAAAAACAATGAAACTAAAAGAAAAACAATACCTAAAGGTTCGTATTTTTTGTGAATTTTTTTTTTTTTTATAAATTAGTATATAATTAAAAAAAAATTTTTTTTATATACTGTATACTTTTAGTAAGACACTTGTAATCTCCACAATGGACAATGCGGGGTTACAGTAAATTAACTTTCTGTACGTCCGGATTACCTTATCTATAATTTTCATACAAGAAAAGAGAATAAACCAAGGCAGAAATGTTGATAAAGTTCGCGTCTTTTTAGCAAAAAGAAAGCACATCCTTTGAGAGTGTGAATGCTCATGATTCATCGACAATACAAACCTTCTTTAATCTTTGTCTGAACGCCATTTTGTGCATTAGATGAGATTTATTTCACTTGTAAGTTCAACCAAATGTGTTAATCTCGCATGAAGATATGAAATCAGGTTTATGTGTTATCTATTAGTCGTTCTAGATAGGTCGTCTTTATAAATACCGCCTTTGAATTTACTCCCATACCTTCTCCATAATTAAATAAGAACATATAATAAAATCTTCGAATGAATTCTACTCAAAATCTCTCGCGTCTAATCACACCCAAAACAAATAATCAATAAAATTATGAAATTCGATTTATCGTCAGCGATTTTCTTTAACGCTAAGCGAAATTTTTCGCGTCAAATTATACATAAAAATTTGATGAAATTTATAAAATTTAATTTCATTATTAGCAAATATTATTTGCACTCACGTGCAAAATGGGTTATATATAGGGCCGGATTAAATTAAATTTAATCTGTAGCCCCTTTATAATAATTATTGTGGGGTTGGGCTATATTGTATTGGTGGCTTTTCCCCCTCATCTATAGGGCTTCATATAGATATTTTTGCTTTGGAGAAATGCTCATATTAATCAACTTGTCACTTACGAAATCGTTCTATATAATGTGTATTGTAAACAGATCTTTATTTTTGTCATATATCAATGTGTACTCCAAATCATGCATAATGATGTGCAATCACCTTATTTAAAAATCTAACACGTGACTTCCACCAACGCCCACTTTTTCATTAAAAAAAATCGGGCGTTATAAACTGTACCTAATTTATTTTTGTTTTGTTTCCTTTTTTTTTTTTTAAAAAAAAAATAAAGTTGTTTATTATGTAAAGAATAATAATACATGCGTGAACAAATGCCTTTGACGTTTATATAATATATGGTGAGCTTTAAAGCAAATTAAACTGGATTCCATAATCAATTAATTTTTGTATCAATGATGTTTTTCCGAATGCAATCTCTGATGTTATGACACCATTTGGTATATTTTGCCTCTCTTTTAATAATGTTTGCGCACAAGCAACAGCAATAATCGGCGTGGCCGAATAAGCAGGTTCAGGTCCAACCACCGTGGTGATTATTTCTACGTCAGGTTGTAAATTGCTTAAAATTGGTGAATTTTGATTGTAATTATTGACAGGTGTTTCATATTCCATTGATAGTCGAAACTTGGAAATTCCTCTCGCATAAAACCTATGCGAAAAACTTGCTTGCTGAATTTGTTCGGGCGACGGTCCCTCGCGTGTAAAAAGCCCTAATTCACACGAACAAAAAACAAGTAATTTCACTACGTGCTTTAAAGAACCATTGATTAATAAAGACGTTTGATAAAAAAAAGCTCTTACCAAAACTAAAGAACTTGGGGTATCTCAACAGTAGATTTTTTCCCCATTGGTATTTTATCAGAAGCCTGAAAATCGCTCCTCCGAGAAAAAGCATCACCAGATACTTAAATCTGGGAATCACAAAGTAGCTAGCAAGTTGGGAAGGGGAAACACCCGAATTAAATTCAATGTCAAGCTGTTGACTTAACTTCAGAATGGAAAGATCCGTGGTGACCGAAGGCACCACGTAGCCTTGGACTCGAGGATCCCACCTAGATGGTGGTGCCATTTTCAACGTTGGTCCAATTTTGGGCACAGTCGGACGATGGGCATTTTTACGCAATTCTTTGAGCGCGTCAACATTAGCCACCGAATGCACTATTTTTTGAGTTCAAGAAAAATTGTTATTTTGAATTTTTCGCCAAATAGATGATGCAATTAAAAATCACCAATTTAATATCCCACCTAGAGACGAATAGGTTGCATAATTAATCACGAGACCAGATTTTCCACCGCTAATCTTGGAAAACATTTCTATTTGTGAAGGTATCGCGCCTCTGGCCTCCAACTGACGTTTGGTAAACAAAAGTCCCAAATCTGCAGGCACCTACATTTTCGGTGAAACATGGTTAATCTGTTTTTCTATGAAACAACTCTCACCTGTCTCTTACCGAATCGTAACCGCAAGCAGGTACTATGGCCACACCTTTTTGCTTCGCCTGTCCGCCATATGTTAACTGAATGCGTTCAATAAATTCAACTTCACCTGTGTAGAAGATTAATGTGTAAAGCAATGCTGAAAGAATTTCATCTAAAGCAACAAACTCAAAATGAAAATTTACCCGAGATATCCACATAATCTGTGCCATTTTCGATACAGGCCTTCACAACAGCTTCACCATAAAATCGAAAGGGTCCAACACAATTGATTATCACCTTGGTCCTTCTCGTCAATGCTTGCAGGGTATCTGGTCTGTAGACATCGGCCACAATAACTTCTGGCGGAGAAACATTTTCTCCTCTGGAAAGACTTACGATATTGAAAATTTCTTGAAGCTTTGACTCCGATCGGCCAGAAATTGCCCAGTTGAGCTTAGAAAATTCATTAGATACACGGCAAATTCGCTCAACCACAAATTTACCGGTGAAACCTTTTATTATAATAATAATAGACGAATAAACATTATCTTTTCACTTTTCTCATTATTGAATGACAATTATCGTACCTGTAGCACCAAAAATGGCGATGTCCAGGTCTTTTTTCGTTTGAGTCATTAAAGCTTAGGTCGCAAGAAGCGGGAAAGTTGGTGAAAGCAATTGTACAAGTTAGATGCTTAATACATTAGTGGGCCATGATGTAATATCCTATTTTGGATATCAACATGTCATATGTCCCTCGTAATATTCATCATATCCCCATATGGACACATATTGCGCACAAAACTGGGAGTTCGTGTATGGAAGACGTAACTTTATCGTCATGGCTCTTTTAAAAACTATAATTAGAGTTTCCATGTTTTTTTCCGTTCGAAAAGAAAAAGAATACGTCTCGTGTAACCACATCTCATTAAATTAAACAATATATACATACAGTTTCCATATTAAAGACAATTTCATCTTTCGTATGGGTTAGAAGATTTTCATGCACACACTCTCGTCGCGTGATATTCGGGATTTGAGATTACACATAAAAATTGGTTCAACAAAAAATATGCATGTAAATAAAAAATACAGATTTGCATGATATTATCTTGTATT